GCCNTTTTTAAAAATTTGTTGAGACTCAGAGATGTGAGTCTTTTTATTTTAACCCCGGCGATATAACATTGTTGAGAGACTCCAAATGTTGGTTTATGACAATGTGTTTTTAAAAAGTGTGGGAGTATAATGCCCACACTTTTCTTCTGTGTGTGGTTCTCGGGGTTTCCGGGTAAAAGGGGGTAAAGATCGGTTTTTTTACCAGGAGAGAGGAACCTTTTTTTAAAGAGGGGTGGGGGGGGGTATTCGTTTTAATTTTCCTTCGGGGGATAATAGAATGGGTCATTGGGGGTTTTTTTTTTATTACTTAGAGGGGGGGGGACCGAAGAGGGAATTTTTTGGTTTTGGTTCTGGTCTGGTTTCGGCAATGTCGAGGGAGATAATCGGTGGGGCTACTTTCAAAATTTTTACATCAACTTACTTTTGTTCGTTTTGCTCTATTCGGTTCTATTCGGTTCGGTTATGTCTCATTAATAATTAATTTGTAATTGCATTAACCAATTTTGCTCTTGTTATTCAACGCATGCATTACATGGATAGACCCATTGACCATACAAGAAATTGAAATTACCAGTTGCTTGTTGTTGTTGTTGTTGTTGTTGAAGATGGGATGCAATGTTATGGCTGGGCATTGCTCATTTAATTAATATTCGATGTGTGTTAGTAGCATAGGAAATATCTCTTGTTTTATTATGTGTGTGTATGTGTATGTGTTTGTGTATGTGGGGCACTGGGGAAGATGGTTACTTACTTCTAAAACTGTTCATGAACTAGAGGCTCACGGGATTGATTTCTTTTACTTCGTAATTCTACTTTTAATTTAATGAACATAAAATTATCAAAAAGAGAATTTCTTTGACTCTCTTTTCAACTTAAAATCTTATACATATATACCTATTGATCTATGTACTCTTTTCATTTATTACTATTACTGTTATACTACATTAATATAATTATTAAATTTCAGATTCAATAGAACCACCTAACTTCTCACCAACCCTGACCTTTTGACCTCTCAAAACGTTGAACTTAAAGTGTGGTGGTGCTTCAAATGTCAAGACAACAGTACTACCGAATTCAAAACCACCCATCTCTTCACCCTTTAGCAATGGAACACCGTTCAATTGACTGTTGGCACCAATAAATGAAGCCTCATACAAAGCGTGAGGTAATGAAACGTGCTTACAGTTGTTGGTCTTCAATTGACTGTCAAAGTTCAACTTGATAGAACCAACATTGGTGGCACCAACTGCTGTCATGCTGAAAAAACCGTACTTCCAGTATCCCAACATTGGAACTCTTTCATTTAAAACAAACAAGTTTGGGAAGTTCTTTTGGAAATATGGTGAAACTGAGAATAAATCACCTGGGAAGTGACGACGTAACTTACAGACCCAGTTGGCTGGGGAGTGGAAACGATGGTAATCACCTGGAGACAAGTACACAACAATATAATACAATTCATTCTTCTTAGGTTGCAAGTCGACAGAGGTACATTGCTTGTAGAATGGAACATCAACACCAGTCAATTCTTGTAATAAGGAACCAGTAACACCAGAACGAGGATCAATCTTGTCATCAGTACCACAGAATGTGTCATCTTCTTCAAAGAAATGCTTAAATTGAGCACAACTCTTACGGGCTTCGTGGTTCTTGGTATCTTCACATTTTAAACTTTCCTCAGTGTGGCCAGTAACAGTGTCATGAGTACCTAAGAACTCGGTAACTGAATAAGACATACCTTTAACTTGTTGAATTTGACCAGTTTGAGCATCAATGACACCAAATTGTAATACCCTACCGTCAGCTGGGGAAGTTACAACATCTTCACCTGGGAAAACAGGTCTCAATGTGGTATCGATCTCTCTGTAAAAGAATTCCGCCAAGTTTTCATAATGTGTTAAGTCCTTGTCAACCATCTCATTCAAGTTGGAACCGGTAAAGAAAGCATAAGTCTTGTAGAAGATTGGTCTCAAAAGGATTGGGACAGTAATGTGGTTGATTTCACCCCAAAGTCTTGAGACATAATTCAATGGCAGGGTCGAATACAAAAAGAACAACCAACTGTTGTTCAAAATCGAAATACTCTTAGAAGAATGTGCTGTAGGCTCACGTTCATCCCCACTGTCAGCCTTCTTTGCTGGCTTTGCTGAAAGCTTATTGAAGGAAAAAATCCCGATTGCAATAATAATTAAAAGTTTTAAGAACATTGTTGCTATTCTACCTTAATCTCAGAATACTTATTGATTGATTACCTAAAATATCCGCAAACAAATGAACCAGTTACTTTCTGTCTCTGTCTCTGTCTCTGTTTTTGAACAAATGGATACTAGTCAACCCCGTGTTCTTTGCTATGTTTACAGAAATTAGATAAAAATATTAATATATATCTACAATTGAAAGTATTTTCGACAAAATTATATATCATCTTAGTATTATATCGTCATTTATATACATCATCAATCCTCACACAGTTCAAATAAAAACTCCCTTATATCAAGGGTAAAGGAAATGAGGGTGA